CCGGGGTGCAGAATTTGCCAGGACGGACCCGGGGAGGGTTTGGGTATAGCTTTGAGCAGATTCTGGGTCGGATGGGGAGGGAGCATGGAGGAGGAAAGGTGAGGGAGGAGTGTTTCTGACCCGAGTGGTTGGGTGTGTCATCGACCTGTCGTACCCAAGAAAGGTACTGCCTGTGAGTGGGGCCGCTAGGATTCCGCAAAAAGACAAAAGAGGAAGAGCGGGAGAGACTTGCCTAAACGAAACGAAAGCAGGAAGATGCTTGAGCTGGAGGGGAGAGGATTCGGTTGGAGGGAAGAGGAGGAGGAGGAGGAGGAGGAGGAGGAGGAGGAGGAGGAGGCGGACAAGACAAGAACCGATTCGCAGGAGCGGACGCGCGAGCCCGCTTTTCCGCCGCACAGGGCGGCACCGAGGCGGCGCCCAGACGCGGCGCACCCGCGCCCGCGAGGCGCCGTGCCCCGCCCGCGAGGAGCCAGCCGCGGCGGCGGGAGGCGCAGTGCGGACCGCGAGAGCGCGGGCCCGGCAGGACTCCGACCGCGCACGGGGCAGGCGGAGATCCAGACAGGCTGTCGCGAAATGCCCTGACAAACCGTTCCCTCGAGGGCGCGAAGTTATTCGCGCTTCGCGGTCCTCGTTCCTTCTCCCCCTCCTCCTCGTCCTCCTATTCTCCCTTTGGGAGGGCGGCGCGAGAGCGCGAAGTTATTCGCGCTTCGCGCAGCGCGCAGCGCGAAGCGCGAAGTTGGGAGCCCTAGGCAAACCGCTCGTGTGGGCCCTCACCAGCTGCTCCCGAGCGACCGCCGCCAGCCGCCGCCGTGCCCGCCGGCCTCCTGCGACGCCGCTCCACGCTGGGAGGGACCGGGCCCGCCAGGTCCACAGGCAGAGCGGACGCTGTTGGCACCAGGCCCCGGCGTCGCCTACCCGTCCTCGGGCGCGCTCCCAGCGGCGGCCGCGGCATGCGTGAGCGGCGCCGCCGTGCCGAGGGGGCTGGCACAGGACAGCGGCACCGCCCGCGGCCGGCGTTCCGCGCCGTTGCACCGACCAGCCGCCCAGGGGGCGGGGAGCCGCCCCGAGCTCGATGCAGCCTCACCGCGGACTACGCCTAAGTCGGGCCTGTCCCTCTACAGGAGGAAAATTCAGAAATGGTCAAAAGAAATAGTCTGGGGACCATTTAAAAAGTATGCTTTGACCATTCAGGGGTCTCCTTTTTTAGTATTTTGTAAACGTTCGCCCAACATTCCCCTGTAGGGGGGGCAGGCCCGACTTAAGACTGCGCGGAGGGCTCGGCGATCTCGGCCGAGGCCCACGCGGAGTCGGCACCCCCGCGCTCTGCGCGAGGGGGCGGAGCCTCGCCGGCAGGCCCTCCCCGCACGGGGGCTGGTCGGCGGCGGCCTGCCTCCAGCGGGCCCGGGGCGAGCGCGCCGCCCGCGAGGCGAAGCCATCGACGACGACGACGACGACGACCACGACGACGACGACCACGACGACGACGACGACGACGACGACGACGACGACGACGACGACGACGACGACGACGACCACGACGACCGACGACGACGACGACGACGACGACGACCACGACGACCGTCGTCGACGACGACGACGACGACGACGACGACGACGACCACGATGACCGTCGACGACGACGCTCCGGTGGTGCCACCGCCAGCAGCGCGCTCGGCGGCTGCGCCTCCGCCTGCGGCCAGCCGGGCCCGCGGCGCCCGCGGGGCCTTCGGCCAGCCTGGCCTGTGGCGCCCGCGGGGCCTTCGGCCCGCCTGGCCTGCAGGCGGCTCGGCCTCCCTCGCCCGCGGCACCGCGGCCACGGCCATGGAGAGAAGGGCTGCGCCGAGCTGCGCCCGCTGCGACGCCGCTCGGGCGGCGGAGAGCGCGCGGCAGCACCTCTGACCGGCGAGGAGCCGTGGGGCCACTCTCCGGCAGCCAGCCCGCCGGCTCCAGCGCCGACCAGCTCGGGCCTCGGAGCCCTCACCGGCCAGCTCCCCGAGCACCACGGAGGCCAGCCCAGCGACCAGGCGGTCACCCGGCAGGCGCGCGCCCGAGGAGGACCCACCAAGGGGGCGAGGAGGAGGCGAGGATGGCCGAGGAGGACGGCGAGGACGGCGAGGAGGACGAGGGACCCACAAGGGGGCGAGGCGGAGGCGAGGAGGACGGCTGGAGGAGGAGGCGGGGGTGGCCGACGAGCTGGCCCCCTCCGCCGGCCTGCCAGCACAAAACGCGCGCACGCGACGCCGCGCGGCGGTGCGGTGCTCCAGGGAATGGGCAGGGAGGGCACTGGAACAGCCCCCTGAGGCTCGCCGACTTGCCTGGCATCGTCGCTCGGACGTGTGCATGTTTTCTCGGCGAGGACCATCGAGGACCATCCTGGACCATCGAGCAACAACAAACACGCGCGAAACCGACAAATGCACGGGAAGTGGACGTCCGAGCGATGCCTGGCTTGTGCTTACGCTCGGGAGGGGCCACGCGCCTCGGCTCCGCCGATCGCTCCCCACCCCCTCCCAGAAAGGGAGGACGAGGCGCGGGGGGCGCGGAGGGGGATGGGATCACTTGCTCGCCCGCGAGGTCGGGGCACGCTGCACCGCTGGGCCGCTCTGCGTGCTTCGCTGGTCCCGACTGCCAGGGGGACCCCATGCCTCCCGCGGGTGTTGTCGGGCGGGGCTGGGACCAGGCGAAAGCGTTCCAGAGACTTCTCAGAACGCTTTCAGAGCGCTCTGGGTCGCTCTGGAACTGCTGCGGCGCCCGATGCATCCTCCAGAGCTGCCGGATGTCAGAGATCCAGACCTATCACGGCCCGATCTTGTCCCTGTCCCTGTCCCGGCTTCGCCTTCCGTTCGAAGCATCGACCTTGCGAGCCCGCATCTGGCTCGGCCTGCCGGGGGGCCTCTGCGTCGGCTGCCTCGTCGCCGACCTCGGCGCGTCTGTTCTGCGTGGCGCCCCCCCCCCCCCCCCCCCCGTGGCGCTCGCGCGGGTCGCCCACCAGCCCCTCCCTCTCTCTCTCTCGAGCTCATGCCAGGCGCTGCAGTGGCAGCCTCGGTGGTGGGACCGGTCCCCTGCCCTGTTGCCGAAGAGCGGCGGCCCCCCCTGCCCTCCAGGATCCAGAGAGTGGCGCAGACCGCCCGCTAGCCTCCTTGTCTCTCTCTCTCTCTCTCTCTTTCTCTCTCTCTCTCTCCCTCTCTCTCTCGCTCGTGCCAGGTGCTGCAATGGCAGCCTCGGTGGCGTGCGCGCGGAGGAGGAGGAGGAGGAGGAGGAGGAGGAGGAGGAGGAGGAGGAGGAGGAGGAGGAGGAGGAGGAGGAGCAGGAGGAGCAGGAGGAGCAGGAGGAGCAGGAGGAGGGGGGCTAGGCTTGCCTTCTCACCTCCCTGCTGACCGCCCTCGCCCCTCGAGAGCCACGCCGCTTACCCCCGTTTGGAATGCCACGCCAGGCACGGGCGTGGGGGGAGGAGGGAGGAGTGGTTTGAAGAGGAGACTGACGAGGACGAGATGGCGGCAGGACGTTCTGAAGCTCGACGCGCACTACTCGTGGGCACCCCTTGGCCGTGGGACGTGCCCCAAAAGCTCCCCCTCTCTTCTCCCTCCCCCTCCTTTCTCCTCGCCCTCTCTTGCCCCCTGGGCTTGGCGGGTCCCCACTCTGTGGCCTCCCTTTCGTCGTTTCCCTTCTCATCCTTGCCTCTGTCCACGTCATCCTTTCTTCCTCCTCGTGTCGACCCCCCCCCTGTCCAAACCCCCGTTCACCCTACAGAAGGACACTGTGTGAGGGGACGATGGCGCCGCGCCGTTGATCGTGATCAGACCCGCCTCCAGCACAAACGCCAGGGGGAGGAAGAGGCGGAGGTGAAGGAGGAGGAGGAGGAGGAGGAGGAGGAGGAGGATAGGCGATGAACAGGAGCAGCAAGCGGAGGAGACGGAGAGGGAACGTGAGGAGTAGCGGGAGGACATAGGGGAAGAGAGGGGTCGGGGGAGAAGGGAAGATGGCCAGGACAAGAGGCGCCAGACCGGAAAGGAAATTATGCAGGAACATACATACACGATGCAAGGATGGAGGGAAGACGAGGAAATCGATGAGTGAGTAGGAAAATGATGAGAATGAGGAGGAAGAAGAAGAAGAGGAGGAGGAGGATTATCATCGGACCATCATGCGATCCACAGGGCGCTGTTCGCGAATGGGACCCAAGCGGAGAGAATTTCGTATACCCCATGCGCGTGCTAGCTGTCCAAAATTTATGGTAATGCATCTCGCATGTGGGACGCTTCATCACGTCGATGGCGCAGCGGACCCCGTGGCCACTGCCGCGTCGCCGAGAGCCAACGGGCCAAACGCCCGCGCTAGAAATAGCTGTTTCGCTTCACCCTCTCGCCTTCTGGGCGCTTTTCGCCAGTTCCTGCTGTTATCTTCGGGTTCAGCACCAACCCTAACTGCTGGGAGGACGTCCCACTCCAACGGAACAGTCGACAACATGATGCAAAATGCACAAGACGGGCGGTGGGCCACCCGTATCGAAAGATGGCCGTGAATTTGAGCATCGTCATGAATCTGAGGGTTGGGCGGGGCAAGATGAAGCACGGGCATTGTGGCGATGACTCGGGGCCCTCCATCCGACAGAGGATTGCGCGGTGCCCACTTCACTTCTCCCGCAGCTCACAGCGGGGCGCGCGCGCGAGCGCCAGTGGCCGCATGCCCGTGGAGGTATAAGCACGACACCAGAATCGGCCTGCGAGCACGGGAATGGGTCTCTGAGCACCCGTGTTCCCGCAGCCACCTCTCCCACGTAGCTCTGGTCGTGCAGAGGAGGTGGGGGAGGACGACGAAGTGGTGGTGGGGGAGGAGGAGGAGGAGGAGGAGGAGGAGAGAGGAGGAGGAGGAGGAGGAGGAGGAGGAGGAGGAGGGGGAGGAGGAGGAGGAGAGGAGGAGGAGGAGGAGGAAGGGATGGGAAGGGGAGGGGGGAGCGGGTGGGCACTCGGTGGCCTTGCTGACCATGGCGTGTTTGTTCCAGAGCCTTGCCGGCTCAGACTGCACGGTACCAAGCGTGCACCCCGTGCTGACCAGCGAGCGGGGAGGTCAGCCTCGGCAGCGAGGCGTGCCACTGCCGCTTACCCGAGAGGCTCGCGCCGTCCCGCCGGCCCCCCAAGGGCCAGGTCGAATAGTTCCCGCGCGGATCAATCATCAGTACTGTTGCGGTGTGCATGGCAGGCTTCGTATGGTGCTTTTGCCCGAGCACAGTCTGGCATTGGATGCTCAGTCTGGGATCGATCGACCTGGCCAGCCTTGAGTGGAGATCCTCGGTCTGAGTAATGTAGTCGCGCCACGCGTTAAGTAAAGCAAAGAAGTACGACACCGGGTCGAAAAGGCGTCTGTCCTCGCGCGCTCGGGGAGGAGCACAGCTGCGCAGCTGCGCAGCTGCGCACGGTATCACGGCGTCGATGCGCCGTTCTGTGAGGAGGAGGAGGAGGAGGACGAGGAGGAAATGGAGGAGGACAGGGAGGGGGGAGGAGGAGGAGGAGGAGGAGGAGGAGGAGGAGGAGGTGGTGGTGGTGGTGTTATTTCTTGGGTTTTTGGGGGGGGCGTCTTGGGTTTGTTTTGGCGCTTTCTGGGAGCCTCTCAGGCCGAGGGCTCGACATGTCCGTTCGGGTCCCCCGTCTGGGCACTCTCTTGGAGCCGCCTTTGGGGCCTTTGGGGTCGTCTTGGAGGTCTCTTGGGCCGTCTCGGGGCCCTCTTGGGTCGTTTTGGAGTCCTCTCGGAGGCCTCTTGGGCTTTCTTGGGGCGATCTTGGGGGCCTCTGGGACCATCTTGGAGTGTCGGGAAGCCGAAAAGGCGAGAATCCAAAAGTCTCTCACAAAATACTTTGGGAATCTCAGTCATCTTTGCCTTTTGGAGCTGTCTTGGGAGTGCTCTTAGCAGTCTTAGCGGCCTCGTGGGGCGTCTTGGAAACCTGATAGGTCGTCTGGAGGCTATTTTGGCGTCTTGGACCGATAGTTCGGCGATTCGGGGCCCTTTTGGACCGTCTTGTGGGCCTCTTGGGGCAGTCTTGGTTCGTTTTGTGGGGGGGGGGCTTTGGGACCCCCCAGAAGCGGGGGGGGGGGCATTCTGACCCGGGACCCCCCCGTAGGACCCGCGTTTTGTGCGATTACAACCAGGTGTTGTTTTGCATGTTCTGCAGTTTTTTGACCCCCACACTGCGTCAAAATTTCTGATGGTGCAGATGACCCGCGCTCACAATCCTTGTGTAGCAGTCTTGGATTATTGTGCGGGATCTGCAGTAGCCTCCGCTATGAGAATCCTCTCATAGCAGCCTGTACAAAAGGGACTCCTTTCGTGGCGGCCTTACGAAAGAGATTTAAGTCTGGGGGATCTGCAGTGGCGGCACGCTAATCCCAGGAAAGCCAAAGAGGAAAGCAGGAAGAAACAGGACAGGACACAACGTGTGTGAGTGTGTGTATTTGTTCAAGTGGAGAATAGGAAGCAGCTAGAAAGACTTGTGATTGTTTGTGCAGACGCTTCCCATGCCAGATCCTTTTGTGGCAGCCTTTACACAAGGATTCCTTGTGGTGGCCTTACAACATGATTTTCATTGCAGAAGATCTGCAGTGGCTTCCACAATTCGAATCCTTTTGTAACAACCATAACAACGGGATTCCTTTTGTGGCGGCCTTTCCAAACGGTTTTAAATACGGAGGGATGTGCAGTCGCGGCACCTTGAGCCGAAGAAAGCTAGAGGAGAGACAAGGAAAAACAGGAAAAACATGAAACAACTTGTGTTGTCACATGGGAAATAAGACAAAACTAGGAAGACTTGTGACTGTCGGTACTTTTGATTATGCATGCGCTCCACAATTAGAATCACTGTTGTGGCAGCCTTTGCAAAAGGATTCCTTTTTGTGACGACCTTACAATGAGGATTTCAAATGTGCGGGATCTGCAGTGGCCTCCACATATCGAATCTTTGTGTAACAGCCTTTACAACAGGGATTCCTTTTGTGGCGGTTTTTTATATTAACAAAAACCGTTTCATTGCAAGGCGATCTGCAGTGGTGGCACCTTGGGCCCAGGAAAGCTAGAGAGAAACACCAGAAACAAACAGATGTTTCTACACGGAAATAGGGACAACATAGGAATTCGTGTGACCGTCTGTATTTTTATGGTGCAGACGCCCCACACTTAAAATCATTGTGTAGCAGCCTTTACACACATTCCTTTTGTATGCTTTTGTGCAGGCTGCTGTGAGAGGATTCTAACTGTGGAGGCCACTGCGAGTCCCCCACATTTCGAATCTTTGTGTACGGCCGCCACAAAGGGAATCCTTGTTGTAAAGGCTGCCACGAAAAGAAGTCTAAGTGTGGAGCGTCTGCAGCATAAAAAGTACCGACCGTCACAGGTCTTCCTAGTTTTCCCTTATTTCCCATGTGAAAACACAAGCTGTTTCATGTTTTTCCTGTTTTTCCTGGTTTCCTCTTCGCTCTCCTGGGCTCACGGTGCCGCCAGTGCAGATCCCCATGCATTAATACCTTTTTTGTAAGGCCGCCACGAAATGAATGCCTTTGTAAAGGTTGTCACAAAAAGGCTTCGAACTATGAAGGCCACTGCAGATCCCCCACACTTGAAATCCTCTTTGTAAGGTCGCCACAAAACGAATCCTCATGTGAAGGTTGCTACAACAGGGTTCTCATTGTGAAGCGTCTGCACCATAAAAGACATACAGTCACAGGACTTCCTGTCTTTTTGTTATTCTTCCATGTGAGAGCACACGTGTTTTCCTGTTGTTCCTGTTTTTTTTCGTTTTCCTCTTTAGTTCTCCTGGGCTCAAATCCCCCACAATAGTATCCTGTTGTGAGGTCGCCACATAAGGAGTCCTTTTTCCTTACCTAGGCTGTGCCTAGAAGGGTTCTTACTGTCTTGGTTCAAAGGGGCCGGGCAGTGTAAACCGCCCCGGGCGGTTCCCCCGGTCCCCTGGTAGCCAAGCGAAAGCAACAGCAAAGGTAAAAGCAAACGCGCGGTTCCCCCAGTTGCGTTCCCTGGGTGCCAAACAAAAGCAAAAGCAAAGGCAAAAGTGAAGGCAAAAGCGAAGGCAAAGCAAAAGCATAGCACAGCATAGCACAACATAGCACAGCGCAGCATAGCATAGCGCAACATAGCATAGCATAGCACAGCCTAGCCTAGCCTAGCCCAGCATAGCATTGCGCAGCATAGCATAGCAGAGCAGAGCAGAGCAGAGCATAGCATCGCATAGCATAGCCTCGCGCAGCACAACATCCACTATTGCTGCTGCTGCTATATATACATGTGTGTATATAGACGTAGCAGCAGCAACCGTGGATGATATATATGTAGCAGCAGCAATAGTGGATGCAGCACCACTCTGGTGAAGCCGCATATTGCAGCGCCGATGATGCCCGCCGAAACAATGCTGAACAGCTTGTTGCACCGATCTGGGAGTTGCTGCTGCTGTACAGTTTCGTAGGAACGTTCGGTGCAGCAAGTGTTGCACAACCTTGCTCAATGCCAAGTCGTGCGGTGTAGGCCGGATCCGGAGCATTCTCTAGCACACCCGGTGAGCGAATGCAAAAACATGCGTGTGTGTGCGTTTGTGCGCAGGCAAAGCAAAAACAAAACCAAGCAAAAGCAAGAACAAACGGAAAGCAAAAGCAACAGCAAAAGCAAAAGCAAAGGCAAAGGCAAAAGCAAAGGCAAGAGCAAAAGCAAAGGAAACGCAAAGCAAACGCAAAATCAATGCGAAAGTGTAGATGTATATGTAGATGTACGTGTAGGTGTAGATGTGGATGTAGGTGTAGATGTAGATGTAGATGTAGGTGCATATGTAAGTGTAGATGTAAATGTAGATGTGAGTCTCGCTGTTGATGTAGATGTAGATGCAGGTGTAGATGTAGATGCAGCTGTAGGTGTAGATGTATATGTAGGTCTAGATGTAGATGTAGGTGTCGATGTAGATGTAGGTGTAGATATAGATGTAGATGTAAAAAACTCCCCGGTGCCCCGCCCTCATCTCCGTGCCTGATTGTTTTTGCTGCTGTCTCGGCGACTTGCTGCCTGCTTTCGCTGCTGCTTCACTTACGGCGTGGCGTCGGCGGTTCTGGCGCTACTGCTACTACTACTACTACTACTACTACTACTACTACTACTACTACTACTACTACTACTACTACTACTACTACTACTACTACTACTACTACTACTACTGCTACTACTACTACTACTACTACTACTACTACTACTACTACTACTACTACTACTACTACTACTACTACTACTACTACTACTACTACTACTACTACTACTACTACTACTACTCTACTACTACTACTACTGCTACGACTACTTCTAGTACTACTACTACTACTTCTACTATTACTACTATTACTACTACTACTACTACTACTACCACTACTGCTACTTTTACTTTTACTTTTACTTTACTACTACTACTACTACTACTACTACTACTACTACTACTACTACTACTACTACTACTACTACCGCTGCTGCTACAACTACGACGATGAGGAGAAGGAGGAGGACGGCGTTTACCGCTCCTACTAATGTTGTTTTCCTGGAGGCTCCAACTCCTAGGTAGGGTCGCACTGGGATAATGTAAAGGTTGCTACAACAGGATTGTAATAGTGGAGTGTTTCCATGCAGGAATGCAGCAGAGCTGGTATAACGATGAGAAGGATATACAGAAGTTCATGGAAAACAACCAAATGGTGAATAACCTTTTTGATTGACGAACACAAGAAGACAAGTGCAATGACAAAGCTGATGAACCATAGCGTGACAATCAAATCAAAAAGAAGCCGGTCAAACAACCCTCTTGTAATGATACAAGCAGTGGGTCGGACGACCCGCCCCTCCCGGGACACCCCCCCTGGGTCTCCCCTGGGACCCCCCCATGTGACCCCCCTCCAGCGGGGAAGGGATCAAGAGGAGGGGCTTCCCTTCGAATGAAGTACGATGTTCGTTTTGTCGTTTTGGCTAGCATGTTTGAAGAGAGAAGCCCAGGGTAAGAAAGGCAACGGTTGGCGCGTTGGATCAGGAAACCCATGAAAAAAAAAACTCGGAATAGCGACGACGACGAC